GTTTTGGCTTGTTTTCATACCGGCCACACTGGGTCCTCCCTTTAACTCGAGAACACCGACGTAATCGCCTTGAGTGGTGCAGACAACGGTCACTCTGGGATCAGGAATGGAACAGTATTGTCTTTAGTGACGAGTCTCGATTTTGTTTAGGCATGCACGATGGTCGTGCCAGGGTTAGAAGGCGACGTGGTGAAAGAAGAAATCCACAGTTTCTTGTTGAAAGACATGTTCATCACACTGTTGGAGTTATGGTTTGGGGTACTATAGCTTATGGTTCCAGCTCACCTTTAATCTTCATCAGAGGTAACATGAACGCGCAGCGTTATATCCACGAAGTTCTAGAACAACATCTTTTACCCTATCTTGACACCCTGGCAGATCCAACTTTACAACAAGATAATGCCCGACCACATGTTGCAAGAGTCACAATAGACTTCTTCCAACATAATGATGTCACATTGTTACCATGGCCACCAAGATCTCCCGACTTATCCCCAATTGAGCACGTGTGGGATATGATGGGTAGGCGATTGCTCAATTTGCAACGTCCTCCTCAGACTCTAGAAGCACTTCGAGAGGAGTTGGTGGTTGCCTGGAATGAGATACCACAGGAGGACATTGACCACCTGATCAGAAGCATGCCTAGGCGCGTTGGAGAATGCGTAGCACATCAGGGTGCATCCACACATTATTAAAGGTCAAAGGGCTTTAAAGCAGTGCAATCACTTTGAAATTTTTATCATTTACTTATTATGCTTCATTAAGTACTTATACAAAGTTTTATTAAAATAAAACCATTTAAAGTGGGTGTTCGGATTTATATGTCACTTAGTATAATAATAATGATAATAATAATCATTTGTTTCAGGCAATTTTTATATTATAAGTTAATTTAAGATGTTAATAATTCTCTTATTGATTCCTTTTTTGATTTGAATGTTGTAAAAATCAATGGAAATCAAAAAATACAACCTAATTTTCTGTTCATTATTTTGATGGCTGCATACAACAATGAATAAAAAATATAATGGATAACTCTTTTAAGACATATGCGAAAATATTACAGCAACTACAAACTTGTAATTTGGACACAAAAGGCAGATGCACTTATTATTTTGTATTTGAAGTATTTCGAAGGTATTACGATTTCAACGACATACGTTTTTAGTGAAAGGAGCCTACAAATATTTATCAGTAAATAATAACTTTAGTTAATTAAGGTTTTTGCATTGAAATCAAATGTGATAATTTATTTTATTTAGTATACCGTGCTAGTTTTCAATAAAATGAATACTTGGTTGTCTCAACCAACTACCATAAGAGGAAAAAAGGAGAACAAGGTAGTGATTTTTCAAGAAAACTTAAAAGTGCCAATATCTCGGAAACTAGAAAATTTTTACCACGGTCATGTTGATTTTATCTGATTAATCTGAAGCCAATCTACCTTCCGTGTCACTCTGGCGTGTTATTTCTGTATACAGGTTTGTGAGTGACATTATATTGTACTTTATAAATAACGGCTTGCAATGTTGTCGAACCCCTACACCAGCAATTGTCCTCACAGCTCGATTTTCCATACTAAACACTTCATCTGCTGTGCTGCAATTTCCCCATAGATTATCCCATAACTCATTTTGCTATTTATCAATCAATAATAAAGAGAAAAAAAAAGTTCTGTGTCCAGCAGCGGTTTTAGTTGTCGCATCAGAAAAAGTTGCGTTGAAACTTTTGAGAAAAAGGTACTAATGTGACCTTTACAGTTTAAGGAAGGATCTATGTGACTCCAAGCAGCTTGACAGGTTCACCGGATTTATTGCTGAGAATAACTATGGTATGGAGTTTTTGATTCAGTTTAAGGTTGTTTTGATTAAACCATTTTTGTGGGGTAGAGATAAGAAAGTAAGTCATACTATATATATAAAGCATGAATAACAAGAGTCCTAAAGCCGAGCCTTGTGGATTCCTTTTTTTATGCACTTAACAGCATTGACGGTAAGTGGGACGAATTGCATTCTTTTTGCCAAATATGATCTAAGTAGTTAAGTTCGTAGCAGTTAGTGAATCTGAGACGATATTGTAAGAGCGAAGTAATGCTACGAGTATGTTATATATTTTATTGTTTTTCTCTGGGTACGACATTTCAAAAAAGTAACCTTAATAGTTTCCCATATACTGGCGGAAATGACTCAACTTGAAGAACCCAAGTATGTAATTTCGTGCTTAGGTTAAAAGTATGAAAAATCGCTCATATGGGAATGTACTTTGCAAAAAGGAGAGACCATATAAGTAAGTATTATATTATTATAATAAGAATCAGTTACGAAAAAAGTGTCTTTTTTCGGTTGATTTCAGCTCACCCATCGTGATCGCGACATTATTGGAAGCTATCAAAGTACCTTCCTTTCCACGCGAACGTGAAAAATAAATTAATGTCCTGTACTTTTGTATATTCCTAGTTATAGTTATAGGTTCGACTTGTCCCAAGCCACGCTTGTATCAATACCCATCATACCCGATATCAACAAAGGAAAAAGAAACTGTCAAGTAGAACGACTCTGTCACACACACTCACATACGTCTATTTTCACAATAACTTCACGTAAAAATCCTTTTATGGAGATAATGTTTTTCGAATACCGATCACCCAATCCGCTCAAGAGAAAAATCGCATCGCTGAAGCTGGTTTATTCAATAACAGTAACTAGTAAAACATGCGGACTGGTACAGTGTTGGTACAACGGGATATGCAAAAAGGGTCAAAGTTATCCCTGTCACTGATACGACAATTAACATTATTTATGTATGTTGCTCCATTAATGACATCTGCGAAATTCAAGATTCTGGAACCCGCTAATCATTTATACATATGCCGTAAGGTTGTGACGAACTTGAAAAAGCGGGAACACTCATGTGTTTAAAAAAACCTGATCCCTGAAAAAAAGTCATTATCATTATCCAAAATATTCAAAAATCAAGTTTCTAACAACCACACACTCTTTTTGGCCGATAAACAACTTCAAAATCTTTAAAAACGGTTTTTTTCCCTCTCAACACGAATCACATCAGCGGGTAGTTGGACAAATATGAACAGATGCACATTCACCAAAAATGCCAAAATGTGTGATCTCCTTTTTTCAACAGCCTGTTTGGAGGAGTATTCTGAATACTTTTCGTCGTTCCATGATGTATAGAGATATGTCTGTAGAATGTTATCCGTCTATTTTTTGTCAAAAATGCATTTTTTGTGCATTTTTCATGTATGTGAATATTCCACTTTTATGGAAGTGAGCGGGTGGTTACTTTCTCTCTTCAAAAAATATTTGCATTCTTTTAAAACCCAACAGAAGAAATGCACAAAATGCATTTTATGACAAAAAATTGATAACATTATATTTTTTAGTCATCTCCGTGCACACCATGAAATAATCGGATGAGCAGGATTTAGAATACTGCTCCAAACAGGTAGTTGAAAAACAGACATGCGACTTTAACTCCTGAAAGACTTTCTCATTTGTCCACCGACCCCCAATTTTCACATCAGATTCGTGTTCAACATGAAAATTACCTGGGAAGTCATAGTGGATCCCCAAGCACTCACCATTTTCATTTTGTGGGCTTGTGAAATTGTGAAATTATCGCAATCACTATACCTGCGTACCTAAGTACGTTCACATGAATTTCGAAAAAATCAGTTATTTACGCATTACGCAGCATTCGTCAACTGCCGCTGCTGCATCCTTCCTCCCCTGCAGTTTGGGGCATCCCCAAACCTCCCCCGACATCGTTAAGCTGCCTTACTCCCCTCAAACCCAACAAATGCGCAGTAATTTGTCCTTGGCCTGGCTATCCCCCCTATGCATGCAACTCCCCCCTTGAAGGAAACAGCTAGGGTGCAATACGCATTTTAGGTAAATCGATACCGAACTAACCTAATTTCTCCCCTTTCTAGATACTTTGTTAGGGTGCCAGATGCGCTGTTTTTCAATTGGTCAGTGGGTTATTCGCAACACTTGCTGCGCAGATGGCACCACACGTGATGTCATAAATGGTAAAAATGTGGCGCATTAAATGAAATTTTCACGATTGTATAATCACTGAACAAATTTTAAAATACATAGGCAGGGAGATTATAAATATACAGAATATCCAAAAATTAAAGAATAATCCCGCAACTGTAAGTAGATCTCGTCAGGATCCACTATGACAAAACTTGGTTTTAGTCAAAGTCTTATAGTTTCCCAGATATTTAGCACTTATAATTTGATTAAGAAAGTGGCTTGCTTTCAGGTAATTCGGTGCCATTTCTACTAATCAACCCTTTGTACAGTCAAAATTATGCATTTCATCCCAGCCAGTATTCTTTTCCTTCAGACGTAGATAAACCCACATAAAAATCATTCCAAAGTCTAAATTTTAATGAAAACCGGCTCTCACTTCTGCTCAATCAAAAATATGACCACTGTGCCAATTAAGTCAAAAAAAGTGGTTGTCTGTTGGCAATTTTCAAATGGTAGGTGCTATTGTTATTTGCACGCTTCTATTATTTTCTTTTAATTGCAGTTGTGGTGATGAATCAGCTTTACTAAAAAAAAGTTGTATTTTATGGCTTGGAGACAAAACAAATGCTTTGGATTGACTAAGTTAGATATACAGGTGTCCAAAATGAGGAGCCTATGCATGGGGATATCATTACCTGTGGAAGATACACCATTAGAAAAAAAAATTATTTTAAGAAATATCCAAAAACGAATGGAACTTTTCCATTGACACTTTTCAGGCACTACATGATAGTGTTTTCAAATTTTATGCCCGACGTTTCGTTTTTAAGAGACCATCATCATTTTTTTTTACGAATTAAACGATGTATTGTGATACATCTGATTTCTCAGTTATAAAGAAAAATGTTATTTTTTTATTTTAAGTAGGCGTTGCAAAAAAACTTAATAGTATCCTTATCTTATCGATACAAAAGGAAGACATCAAGGTGGAAAAAGTAGACGTTACTGTCAAAAAAGCTAATTTATTGATATTGCAAATCCATAAATTTTTCCCCTTATAAAAGATTATTCACGATGGTAAGCATTTCACTATAATATGAACCAAAGACAGAACATCCCTCAGCATTGGTGACAAGCTACTTGATGATTTTAGCTTCTCTAGCAGAACCAGTTGGGCAGCTTTTTTCTAAAACATAAAATGAGTATTAAGAACTTCCCAAATAACCAGATCAAACTTGCAATGATGCAGAAAATAAACAGTAGGAACAAAAAAAACAAAAAAAGCGCATATCGCAAACATTTCATTTCTTATTTTAAAATGAAAAACTAGGATGTAACTTTTACGAAAATATCATTTTTTCTTTGAAGAAACCTCTGCTTGCTATTTGATAGAACTTCAAAGTTATATTTTTGTTGGTAATACTTAAGAATAGAATACTGATTTATACGCTGTTTTTTTTTATTTTTGCACAAAAGAATATAAATTATAAGAATATAATATACACTGTATAGTACTAAGGATAATAGATGTGAAACTGTAAAAAACCGTTGTTTTTTTTTCAAAGAAAGAGGTTAAGAACTAGCCGTATAATAAGCTGAAATGACAATTCCAAATACATACCTTTAAGACCACCCTTTAGCGCATAAAGGCCGAAATTCTTGTTTTTTCGAAAACTGTAAAAAATCGTTGTTTTTTGCTAAAAAAAGGTCCAAAACTAGCCGTGTAGTAAGCTAAAATAACAGTTCAAAATATACATAAATGATAGTATTTACTTGGGAAACCATGTAGAGGTGTTGTGTTGAGATTTTTTAATGTCTTCTTGAAATCACTTAACTATTATGTTTCGCGTATTTTCAATGAGATCAAAATTTATAAGAAATATTTGAAAATACAATTGATTCTCAATGGCCATTTTATAACGTTCGTTTTTTGACAGATAAGATAAATGATGTCAATTGTTGCCAAGTTGTACTTTTTTTGGGAGAAGTAGGTGATAAAAAAATTAGGTTGTTTGTGAAATAAAAGTCCTAATTTATTGTAAATGGCTTGTTTTATAAGAAGTTATCTCAATATTTACTGAAAATTAGATGAAATTTTTAACAGTTAAATACAACAAGCACATTGCATATAACAATACCCAACTCCGATTCGTCGATTTGAACCACGTCGCCAGGTCCACCCAAAATATCATTGTCTAACATTATAGTTAAATAAAGATCAACGACCATTTCATCAAATCATCAACAAACTTGTATGTTCTTCTTTGTTATGTTTTCATTATTTAGTGCCTGGCAATAGCTACTTTTTCAGTAATTTCTCATATATATTACATTTTATTAGGTATATTTTGTGACATTGGCTTCACTTTAAATAATTCTTCAAGTACATACATACAAAAAGTAAATAGATTATAACTATAATACAGGAAAAACAATAACCGAAGTATTTTTGTAAAAGGCATACGGCATTCTTCAAAAAAGCTTATTTAGCTAACGCTATCGTAGGACACGAAGTAGATTTAGTACAGTAATACCTACTGGCCCACCTCCAAATTGCATTTTCATGTCAATCCTGTACCGATTTCTCATTTTTACGCTAGTATATAAGTAAGAATTTGACAAACCAAATCAAGGTATATTACTATCCATGATTCGGCAACATCGCAACTCGATGCAGAAATTATGATAGTGATGGAGGTATAGTGATGGGAATATTTATCTGAAATAAAAGAAATGACTACTTAAAAATGTTCTATTTGCATCATTAAAATAATGCAAAATTTTATTGTTGCGATGAACAGTGTCACAGTAATATACAGTTTATGTTATGTTCATATAATGTTGAGCATTCTTTTGTGTAAAGAAAAAAAAACCAGCTTATAAAGCAGTATTCTATACTACACTATTACCACCCAAAATGCAACTTTGAAGTTCAATAAAATAGCAAGCAGAGGGCTCCTCAAAGAAAAAATGACATCTTCGTACAAATTACATCCTAATCTTTCATTTTAAAATAAGAAATTAAATAATTGAGATATGCGCTAAAGCATAGTCCAGCCAAAAAAGCATTTTTCAAATGTGTCGGTATTCCTGTAATTTCCTTACCAGTCTTCTATAAGATCTACTCCATTTCGTCTGTATATCAGGTCCAGGAAGGCTCCAGGTGTATGCAATGATAAAAGTAAGGATTATAACCGCAGCCAGTGATAATTTTTCTGGCAATGTCATAGGTAAGCAATATTCCTCACTTCAGTCTGGTGTGTGACTTCATGTTGAACTTTTATGACGAGAATTTCACTGACACAAGAAACTGTGCCACTTCAATGCCTTGTCAGCTTGACAAATCGTAAGCTGTCTAGCTGCTTTAGAGCTAGCGATAGTGCAAAAAGGTGTAGCTTTAAACAACTATATTCTTTAGGTAAGAATTTAATCGAGCTAGAAAATGCCATGAAATTTTATATAGGCGTTTCAAAAGCGAAAGAAACTAATTGTTGTCATTTTCTGGAAGAGCCTTAGTAAGAAAAATATGATAGATTATCCAAATAATGCAGCTCAAAGTACCATCTATAACCAGAATCGACCATTTTGAGAGTGAAAACAGCAAGCCATCAGTTGGAACTCTATCCCAGTTCGAATTTGACAGCCACACTGTGGCGGCTAGATGCCGTCAGCTCTTCTGGTATAGTCGATACGGTCTACTCGCCATTGAACAAACTACTCCTAGTAATATAGTTTACGTTGGTCTGACCACAGGCGTTCAACTGTGGACAGCTGTTTCATGCATTTAGCAACTCATCAGCATGGTGTCTTGCTGTTTTCACTCTCGCGATGGACGATTATGGTAATAGATGGCACTTTGTGCCATGTTATTTCGGTAGACATTTAATCCTGGATCGTTGTCCTACCTGAGACGAAGCCTAGTCCATGCTGATAAACCTATCTTTCGTGCTGTTTGGTAACCACCAAACAGCACGAAACGGCTGTCCATGGTTGGCTGTTTATGATACGACAAACGAAAGCTATTCTATTATAAATTATCCTCCATTTACTACTTCAATTTTATGATTCATAATTTGAGCGGAAGACGAATGTCATACGATCGGAATTACTGTGGTCCATGCCATCATTAGTTGATGATAGGTCTATCTGTGGATTTCTACGAAACCTTATATATCACTATGATATCCATGATAAATACTAGCTAATCATAATAAATTCTAATATGCGTGATTGTCGTCTAACAACGTACTATAAAAATTTAGACTACTTATTCTTTAATAAAGATGTCTTATCCACTATGTAATATAAGCTTTTTTCTAAGCTTTCATGTAGCACAAGCAGCTTCTGTATTCGTTCGATTGAAGTGGGTTGTGAGCTCTCGTATAGAAAATTTCACATAAACTTAATTGACTTTTTGGCTTTGAGCATCTGCGTCTCCTTGTTTTCCCCGAAAGAAAATTAAAATGCGGGATTAGATATATGGAAAAAGTGCTCTACTCCGGAACTCCCGTCTCCCATTGGGAATGGATCACCCCTCTTCAGATGTGGTATCACTCGAAAACCTTAGCAAGGATACATTAACGTACAAATGCGATATAAATGCAAGGAGTAGTTACACCAAGAGAAGGCAGTCAGACAAGGCGAATGAATTAGAGAGAGATAAGAGACGTATCCCAAAAAATGGCGTCCACAAGACAGTTAATGGCAGTTATTTTGCAGTGCAGTATAATAATAATATAATCTTTTTTGGATGAATTCTTTGTCCATCCACTTGCCCTTCAATTTTCAAAACTTGCAGCTTATCACATAGCTATGTATTTAAAGTTTAGGGCCTCACACAGAATATTACACGATTTAGTTTAGTAACTTCAGCTTGAAATTCATTTCATTTTTTCTAACCTCACATTGCGTATTTGACCAATCGTCGGTGGTTGCCAGTTATCTAGACTGCCTGGCCTTGAGCTGATATGTTTATTGACTTTTTGACGTAACCACAAAATGAAAATAACTGAACTCCATTCAGCTCAGTATAAATGTAGCATTTTCTGAACATTTTCTGTCCGTTTAGCAACACTGCCTCGGTACATGCAGAGTCACCTATGAGCGTAACGCGCGTATCCGTGTCAGTATATATATATATATATATTTTGAAGTATATATATATATAATTAAAGCTTCCGCCTTTTGTTGGGTACTTCGACAAAATTTAAGCAAACAGGACTCTTTATACTTTTTTAATTCTCTCTAGCTTTCAATGGACTTTGCCATCATCATCAGGAGCTGCAATTACAATGATAACAGTAGCAACAAAAGTGTAAAATGAATTTAAATTGACTCAACTTACAGTAGTATGTGAGGATGTTGCTAATTGTTGTTTACGTATAGGATGAGGGAAACGTCCAGTAACATGGTGAGAGCTGGATAGATGGTACAATGGTCAAAATTATATAAAATATGACAAGAACAAGTTAAAAACAGATTAAAAATTATTTAAGAACATTAGAGCATTACATCGTGAAGCCACTTGATGATTGCACAAAATAGTGGTAATGGAATAATGAGTGAGATGAACCCTTTGACAGAAGGCCGAAGGTTGTCAATGTCTGTGTTGAAAGATGGAACGAATTGTGGGCGTGTGCCAATGTGCCAACGTTGCCAAATCACTTCAGATGATAATTTTTAATCTGTTTTTAACTTGTTCTTGTCATATTTTATATAATTTTGACCATTGTACCATCTATCCAGCTCTCACCATGTTACTGGACGTTTCCCTCATCCTATACGTAAACAACAATTAGCAACATCCTCACATACTACTGTAAGTTGAGTCAATTTAAATTCATTTTACACTTCTGTTGCTACTGTTATCATTGTAATTGCAGCTCCTGATGATGATCGCAAAGTCCATTGAAAGCTAGAGAGAATTAAAACAGTATAAAGAGTCCTCTTTGCTTAAATTTTGTCGAAGTACCCAACAAAAGGCGGAAGCTTTAATTTTTCACCTAACTGGTCTAGACGACAATGACCACGTCTCAAGTTATGTATATATATCTATGAGCGAATCGCCAAACGAAGGAAGATAGATGCTTGTTTTTTTTTTGTTAACCAGTAATAGTACAAGTGTCGATCGCAAAGTTTGGTTATATCACTTACTAATATGATATGTTAAATACTAGTCAAATCTTAAGTATTTTGTTGCTAAGCTTGCCGAGTTTACTGTTTAGCATCAAAACGCATAAGATTTCACTAGCTTTGATCATATCACATCAGTACGCAGTGATGTAACCAAAAATTTGCCGTCGCCGCCCCTACTATATTGAAGAAGATACTCAAGGTCAATAGAGCCGACCGGCGGACTATAAAAGTATTCTACGACGTGCCTTCTCTCGAGCCTCCGCGGTCTGGGAGTACGCTGCCCCCAGCTACCGCAAGCGACTTGCTGCTCTAGAGATGAAGCTACTCCGGATCGCCACCAGTGTACCATCCTACGTAAGAAACTCAACCTTGCGTAGAGACCTGCATTGGGACACCATTCATGAGTACATGAGGAAAAAAGCGGAGAAGACCTTCCAGAAAGCTCAGGACCACCCGAACGAGCAGCTACGATTCCTCATGGACTACGATCCGGACGAGAGGCTTCGCAACCGCAGAACCAGGTACCCTAGACCAAGGTCCCAGTTGGCACCCGCTAACTGGAACCTTGACTAGGAGACTAGGAGAACCCGCGGTTGCTCCCAAATATCGGTCACAGATTGATGGATTAACAATGTATTGTATTTCGGCGACTAGAAATGTATGCAAGATGAAATATCTTCGCGCCAAGTATGAGAATTTCCACAGCTATGTTTTTTATCTCCGCCATAATCAGAAATCTACTTTGGTTTGGTCATATCTGCTCATATAGTTGGCAGGGGAGCTGTCTATGAAACACTAGCGTTTCAAAAAAGTCTAATTATTGCGGAGTATTTTTCTAAAAATCATAACTCAGATTAAGTAACATGTTACTTTAATCGTTTCAGTAAATAACATATTTACAAGTGCATAATCGGAACATATTTGGATCGAAAACCTATATAACGTTAATGAATTCTGCCGACTGAACGTGTCTTCACTCAATTGAACCTATTTTTGTTAAAATATCCGTGAGTGCATGTTGGTTGCACTGCAGTAAGCGTTTCATCTAACGTCGTTTTTTAGACTTTTCAGATCGAATTCGTTTAGTTTATGGTAAGCAAAAAAAGCACTTTTGAAAAATGCATTTTATTTTTGTTATCACAACATACAATAAATAGGTTTGGTATAAATACATGGAAACTATAATACTATGGGTTGATTGACTTACAATACATTAGCCTCCTCTCACAAGCCCAGCGTAACCCACTGCTGTTGGAAGAACCCTTTCAGCAGCATTCCGCACGTTCTTCCCTACCTTTTCCTGCAAGATAATAATGAACAATCGTTATAGTAGCTAATAGCTCAATCAATACATCTGATCGAGGCATCAACTACTTGGGGAACAAGAACAGACAAAACGCAGGGTAGGAGCAGCGGTAGTCGCCGCATTTCTGCCCTTCTTAAGATTCAGGTCTAGCAAGATAATTTGTACTCTAAGATACAACAATATATACCATTTTCTAGAAAAAAATGGCAGACTTGGGCATCTAGGGAGAACGCGTGCTCCCCCTCGCCCCGCTCTAAGTCCGCCATTGACCTGCAAGCTTCAGCTGAATGTGATGTTTTACCACACTCAAATCGGTTCACCCGTTTAAGAGTTTTTTAATCGGGGATTAAAATGTGCAACTAATTCAAAACCTGGTAGTATTTTATTTAAAAATCAATATTGAACCCCCGAAAGATATTGAATATCATCCAAAAGTGCTTAAGGCCCTACGAAAAAAGAGTATGACTGAAACCTGTGGATATCTCCATATTCTTTTATTGAGCTGCCTTCATATGTGAAACAATATTTACAAATGATACAATATTTGTCTTAAACCTTGACTTATTAATTCTGCCCCTATTACATAGGATAAATTTTCATTAATTAAAATTATCGAGAAATTCCTGTTTCTTGGGGCATGCTCAAGTTGGAGCGCAATATTTAAGTTATGGGAAAATGATAGCTAATGAATACTGATGGATGTAAAAATTATGGCACATAGATCTTAAAATCCGTAAGGCTGAGTCTTTTTTCAATGCCTTTAGATGATGCTACCACAGGTACGAAGTAAGTGAGCGAGTAAGTACTTACAATACGTTTGAAGAAACTCTTCCCCTCAGATTGTCCTGCCAGGGCCAATAGCACAGCAACGATAACAACGAAGAAAATTGAAAGCTTCATATTGGCTTCTGGATGGCTTCGAGGTATGTAGACAGCGAGTGCAATATGTTGAAAATGATACCTCAACCCAAGCTGGGGCAGTGATTTATACCCACTAATACAAGTATCGTTTATTACCAGTGAAAAACCTAAGATGTATTTCCCCGATCCTGGCTTAATTGCCTTGTATGTAAATTACTTGGATTATCTGTGAAACCCAGTCTGCAAATAACAGTAAAGATACGCAATCTATATAGAACCAGCATCGTTTTCTTTATTATTCAACATATGAGACTGAATAATTATTTAAAAGCAGTGTACGCGTAAATATTTTATGATGAAACGATTGGTTATTGACATTCTGATATCACAAACACTCGCGCAGAGCTTAATTGCAATATAGGTGATGGTGATCAATGCGGTGCAAATGGGGTCAACGAATTTCCTCCCTCCTTTCTAGTGAAAAATATAAACTTGATGTGAATTCATCGTTTTTACTTCCCACGCCTACTAAGATATTATATTTTTTGGATATCATATATGACAAGTACATCACATCATCGTCATATGTCGCTCATTTCGGTCGGTCGGTCTGTATGTCTGTCGGTCTGTATCTCTGTCTGTCTGCTGATCTTATAACCGCCTATAACTTGAGAAGTACCGCTCGAACTTTCATTAAATTTTTACACAATGTTACTACTATGCCAAAGACGCAAAGGCTTTGTAGTTTCTGAAAATCGGTTCAGTGGCGCCCGACAAAAAGGCAAAAAATTTTAGACGATCCTGATCAATTTCGGAAAAATGTTTTTAGGGGTTGAAAATTGGGAGTACCAGGGGGTGGGGGAGGATATACCGCAATTTTTTGACGTTAGTATATTTACACGCCTATGTAATTCTACGCACATATTACCCATATTTCATCATAGATGTCCCCGAACATTTACTATTAACGCTTAGAATTATCTCCTACAGTCTATAAATGCAACGTCGCCCTCGCAGACGGCAATTGCATCCACGCTACTGTGGACTGCGTGAACTGTGCATGGTGAAGGCCAACTTTTTTCTTAGAAGGGCTAACTTGTGCTGCACGAAAAATCAAAATTATTTATATTGAAAGTTCTCAGATCACTTGCTTTCGTTTAAATGTCAAAGTACTGTTTCTCGCATTTCAGAACCATTTACAATGCACATGCTGCATTAATAGTTGAAGATTGTATAAACCTTAACATCTATGTTGCGGCAATAGTTCTGGGTGAGGTTCTAGCGGTCTCGAGGGGCGAGAGTGATTTGTCAACAACAACAAAAAAAAAACGACAGATAGCATCATGCTCGCGAGTCACCGTGGGCTGCTAGATCTGTTTTTGGAACGGGAATGCCTACCCCAGACGATTCTGTTCTTTACTGGCTTTAAAGGTGCCATTTTAATATGTGTGTGTGCTTTGAAATGAAAAATACATAAAACATGTGTCGTGAAAAAACTAATTTTCAAGATACAGGATCGCAAAGTTTCAAAAAAGGTTGGTCTTTTATTAATACTTCAAAGATCCTTGTGCCGATTACTTTGAAATGTGGCAGTATTGTATATTGCAATAAGACGTAATGTTAGCACTGACTAAAAGATCATTTTTTTTTATATCGAAACAGCCGCGCAGGCAGAAGCCTAAATGCCGGAACACCGCGGCTACTATGATGATCCCAAAGAAATTTTGTTAATACGATTTTTGAACTACCTAAGGTTAGTAGAACTGGGAAAAGCTTCCTCCCGTAGATTGTTCCACAATCTAGACACCCTCGGGACATTTATGTTGTTCTGATATTATGGACATATCTATGACACCCTGTATCTTGGAAACCAGACTTTTTAGGACACTTGATTATATGAACTTTTCTACTTGAATTTGCCATAGGAATACTGCCTTGAAATTACGGCATATCATTAATTAACACCCTCTATAATTTTGTCTCATACCTTGAATAATGGAGAAAAGTATACGGATCAATTCATGTGACATGATGTGTACATGTATGTTATTTACTATAGTTTGCAGATAATAACTGTTTCACAGATAATGCAAGTAATTGAATTACAACAAGATAATCCATTAAACTAAACCATCTTAAGTACTTCTCTTGTAATAAACCATATTTGCATTAACGGGTATAAAACTCCTGCTCCAGCCAGTATCATTTCCAAACTATCAAATTCGTTGTCTATATACTACGAAGACATCCAGAAGCTAGTATGAAGCTTTCAATTTTCTTCTTTGTTATCGTTGCTGCGCTATTGGTCCTGACAGGACAATCTGAGGGGAAAAAGTTTTTCAAACGTATTGTAAGTACTTATCTAATAGACCGACTCACACATTTGATAACATCAACTACAAGCGTTCAGAAACCGTTTAAGACTAAAAAACTGCACTACCGCTTTAGGGGTTTTAAGACCAGCGTGCCATCATTTTCACATCCATCTGTACATATTTATATTAGTCTATGATCCGAATTAAAAACAATCTTCACCCTTCTGTTTAATGGATGTATTTTATTTCAAACTAATATAATATACAAAATATTTCGCGAGTGGGTTGCCAAAAAAAATCCTGCCGAGACTATGATTCATTTAAAATTAAAAAATGGCTTTGTATTAAACAAAGTAATAATAATATTGTAATAACCCTGTATAGTGTGGTAGGTCACAGTTTGGTTTGAGTTCTGACATGTTTTTCAAATAGTGGATAAATATAGTCTTTTCACTGAAACAAAGCAGTCACGTCATATTAAATTTAAATGCAAAATAGATCCTAAATTGGTACGTATAGTTTGAATTTTCCGGGTACATTTATGGCGGTAACAGTTTTATATGTTGTGACATTGTCGCAAAGCTTGTCAGATAATTACGCCAACTTCTGTTGTTTATTTGTGGCTTATTTCCTAGGATCTAGTGGTTTTATGTAATGTGGCAACCATGTACGTCACTGTCATTATTTAACGTTGTGACGTAACTGCTTTGATTCAGTGAACAAACTGTATTTCAACTAATGTGCTTGATGATGATCGCATCGTTCTGATAAAAAAGGTTGAATAGTATTGTTTGTAAGACTCGACTTTCTTAAGTGATTGTAGAGATGAAGCTTTCAAAATGGTTCATAGCTTCATAGCTTTTCTTAACGACAGGAGCGTTAAGTTCAATGAGGTTGAGCTAACTAAAGCACCGATTCTGTTGTTTGCCACATCACGAGTTATAAAAAGAGTTATTTGTCAAAGAGAATAATAAAGGATTCAGAATTTTTTGTAGTGAGACTACAGCAAATTCATAATATATGATATACAGGGTGTAAGGTTAGTAGTGGATTAACGGAAGTCTCAAAATATATCGAATGAACCGCTACATGTATGGTCCGCAATTTTATAGTTCAGGAGATATTTGCAATTTTGTAAAATTTCGAAAGAAACGGGATAATGAACTTTCAATCGCAATTATAACTAAACCATTAGATTTAGGGCTCTGATTTTTTTTGAGATGAGCTAAATAGTTAGTTTTAGCAATGTTTATGTCACTTTTTAACAGAGCTAATTAGAAATCAACACAAAAAATCTTAAATTCATTTTTTTGTAAAAATCTCTTCCGTCCCTTAACTTTGGAAGGCGGTAACAAAAATTGAGCTTGTACTTCATTATTAATTTTATTGTTAAAACTATTTCAATCCATGTATAATAAACCCTTAAAATTTCAGCTTCCTACGATAAGTATCTCACCTTAAAAAATCTGTATGTTTGACGCAGGTGTGGGTATCTATACATGTAAATAAGAAATTATGTTTTACGAGCCACAGTCTAAACGTCTTGATGGATTTTCACATATGAGGTAGTGTTAGATTCATCCTAGCAGTGCTAGTGATACTGTGTGAATTAACACTTTGTAAAATGAGAATGGCGGATTTCTTACCCAAACAGCCAAATCAGCTTAATGAGCTTGGGCATTCAACTCTGCATTCCACGTGAGGGAACGTTCAATCTTGCGGTCCGACCAAAATTACTAAGTCAGGCAATGGTCCAGCGCGGAATTAGTATCTAACGTTTGGCATCTGAGTAGAATCATGTAATATGCTCCGCGAGATTATGCAGAAATGCATTACTATTATGCTGCTGCCCTAGGAAATGCTCGAGCAGCTGCTCGCATGTATCGGGGGTACGTGGTTAAAAGAGGTTGACCACAACCGGCGGTGTATCCCGACTACCGCGTTTTCCTACGCGTCCATAATGCGTGTATGAAGGGCCGCATACTAGGCACTCATCGTCAGTTAGGAACGCCGAGGATACGCCCAGAAGAAATATAGTAGAAGATGTAATAGAAGCAGCCGAGATGGATCTCTCTATAAGCGTTAGAGCCATTGCCCGAAGCAGAAACATATCTCATACTTCAGTGCACACAATACTAGGCTCGGAGAACATGCACCCTTACCATGTACAAAAAGTACAAGAATTGCTGGATGTACGGCATTACTTAGACAGTGCCTGTCCAGGGCAGATGTGGACACATAAGATGGCCTCCAAGGTCACCCGATTCATATCCTCTAGATTTTTATGGGGGTTTTATAAGTTGATAATCTATACATCTGAATATACAAAATGTCAACCAACTGCGCCAGAAAATTGATCGCTTGTGTATAGAAAATAATGTAGGCCATTTCGAACTTGTTCTTTAAAAGTTAGTTAAATTATCTTCCACAATTGTCAGTAAATCGCGGCTAAACACAATAGGTTCTGTACTTGTAGGTGGTAAGGATTCTATAGCGTTTCTTACGTTTATTGCATCACATCACATCAACGAATGTGACACGATACACTCATCGTAGTAAGCTGAAATTTTCAGGGTTTATTCTACATGGATTGAAATAGTTTTTATAGTAAAATAAATAAAGACGTACAACCTCAATTTTTTTACCGCCCTCCAAAGTTGAGGGATGGACGAGATTTTTCACAAAAAAATGAATATAAGATTTTTTGCGTTGATTTCTGTTAAAAAGTGACATAACAGTTGCTAAAACTAACCATTTAGCTCATCTCATAAAACAGCTCACATCCTTAAGCCTAATGGTTTAGTTGTAATTGCTATTGAAAGAACTATAAAATTTCGGACCACACATATACGGGTTCATTCGATAGGTTTTGAGGCCCTCTATCACCTGACTTCTGGTAATCCACACTTTACACCCCGTATATGAAGCGGTGCTTGAAAAGTTTCGCAATCCCGGGTATTTCTCGGGAAGAAACGGAATATTCCCAAAATCACCTCCTTTTAATTTGATTTAATTAATCATAGTCTCGCCAGGAATGTTTCAACCAACACACCGGGGATATATTTTTAACATACTAAATTTGATTTAAAATTATTTGTATTCATTAAACAGATGGGAGAATGTTGTTTCCAATTCGGATTTTATTCTATTTAGCTTGTATATTTGAGGACCTGTGTTTTCATCACATAACTTAAATATTCCGTTTCCAAGTGGAATACGCTTCAAAAACTAGCGAATTTATAGGATTTTCTCGACAAGCGACCAACAATTTGAGTATGTATCCTATACATATATTAGAAGCCGAAATACAAATAACATATTAAATGTCATGTCAAGTCTTAAATAGATATCGTATTTCTTGCGAATTGATGATGCCTATAAAACTATCACAATGATAAGATTTTCTCTTCACTACATATAGTTTCACTTATTGGTGCAAGACAGCTCGACAAAATGTGGAGACGTCTACAGGGTTTCAGTGTTACTCCTTTTTTCCTGGGTCCTTCCTAGCACTTCTTTATGTGGTTCAAAATTTTTGGTGGCTTAATATTTTCTTGAAACATTTTTTCACGGTCCAGAATAAGGGGGTGTTAAGATTCACGTCGACCTAGAGGTGGGAGAAGGGAGGAGCGAATTGTGTCGCGAAAAATTGTAAACAATGTTCGAAATAAGTCAAAACGCTACAGGAGTATGTCCACAAATGCCAAATGACAATGTCGCGAGCCTAAGTTGCTTCCCACGAATATGCCTGAATGGGGTATCAGATGAAAGGGTTTCATTTTTAAATTAGTAGTAGTAGTAGATCGTACTTTTACTGAAAATCAGTCATGTCGATCGAAAGTAAGATCAAATTTTCTGTATGGTTTTTAATTCCAACACAAAAACTCTCAAATGATGAACTAATTTGAGTACGAGATTGACTTGGATGTCGTTTTTATTTGTCTAGCGAATAGCGCTTGATAGCATCTAAAGTCTATTGACGTTTTCAACACTGTACGTTTTAACCCTTTTACATCCTAATTCAGCTGTTATATTTTAAATCACATTCCTTCAATAAATATAACGAATGTTTTTTGTTACAGGAAAAGGTAGGAAAGAACATAAGGAATGCTGCCGAAAGGGTTCTTCCTACAGCAGTGGGCTATGCTGGACTTGTGAGAGGAGGCTAATGGATATTAGTTTGATTAATTAACCCACATTAATCCATATTTCATGTACTTAAACCAAACCTATTTGTTATAAATGTTATGTTAACAAAAATAAAATGTTACTCTTGAAAATGCATTTTGCTTACCACAGACCAAAACAATTCGTTCTGGAAAAATTTTAAACCTACATCACAAGAAGTCCTTACTATACTGCAACCATCATGCCTCTGTCCACTAAACTTTTAACAGAAAAAATCGGAAATTCAGTCTGTAAAGTACATTACTAACCTTAATGATAGAAAAGATTTCTCTCCAAATATGTACGTTATGCGCAAAATCAATGATTCGCGTATATCAGCTAATATTTCTTTTATGTGCAGCAAATTTGGTACCACGGAAACGCTTTCGACAATTTTCAGAATTCTGTTAAACATTTTCTCACTACTCACTATAATCAGCCTATTCCAGTTGCTCGCAAAAATAACTCCATTCGTAGAGAATTTTAATTATTACATTTCTTCCAGACTCAAACATCTCTGACTAATTATACTAGATAAAATGACGATGGAATCACAGCAGCTTCAGGTTTTTCACTAAGAATGCTTACAGTCTGTTTAACTTCCAGTTATTGTGTTCTACTATTGAAGTCGGGTGAGGGAAGGTAACACACAGGTCTACAAAAAAATGTCTATGTTTGATGCCACTAATTCTATGTTATAATTCGTTTAATTAGCCAGCAAGATATCGTGCCAAGCTGTCAAAATCTTGAAACAACGTTCAGGTTTGTATCAATCGATAGTATCCTAAAAAATACATTTTTTCATACTTAATGTCACTATAATCAATTAATTTGTTTTTTTAATTGATAATATCCATATGCCGTCATCGAGAAGGTGTTATATAAATAATCCAAATACATTTTGTTACATTTGTGGTGAAAATGTATTGAAAAAGTTTAGAACACCTATAACAGATTCAGTGAAGAAGATATACGTTGATTACTTTAAGATAGAGGTGAAGGCTCTGAGCAAACCGGTGCTTCCAAATATTGAGTGCAAGTTGTGTAATGAACATTTAAGACAGTGGGCAAACGGTAAATGTGATCGTTTAAAGTATAGTGTGCCGATGATGGACAGAACCGAAAAATCACATTAATGACGTTCATTGTTGTGTTGTAGAATTACATGGTATGACCAAAGAAAAATGACATATCTTGATTTACCGTCTGCTAAAAGACCTCGACCGTGTTCAGATGACGTGCCATCTCCTATGAGTCAAGATCTTTCAGATCTATCAGATTTGTCGGACACAGAGATGGTGGAAGTTTTTTCTGATGAACGTGACAATGATTTTCAAGTGTCAACAGCGCCTTGACTTTTTTCTCAAGATGCTTTAAGTGATTTGATCAGAGACCTCGACCTTTCGAAAGAGCGATCTGAGCTACTCACATCTAGGCTCAAGAAAGAAATTTGTTATCTCAAGATACAAAAGTAACGTATACGAGTATGTTCCTGTTAGATAGTTGCTTGGCTATAGGTTATTTTCAAAATATATTAAAGCAAGATACGGGCACAGTATAGGGCCAGTAAAATAACTCTAGCTGAAATGTTTCAGGCTAGTGGTTCCTACGGGCACGCATGGCAGCACATGTTCTCAGGGTATGGACACCAACGTAACCACAGCTGTCGACGCGCTCGATTCAGTTAGAAGCGGCGATAGATACAACGGTATAGGGTCGGACTGTGCGCTGTTAGCTGCGTTGTTCAGCAATAACGTGCTTAATTATATTATGAATCAAAAAGGTTCTGTATGTCAATTACTGTTTTGAGTCACAACAAGAGTCTTTAGGATGACTTCAGCGAAAAAGCTACTATTCCTATAGTTCGAAAGTAACTGTTCAGATTATAATACAATTTTGACCCAAAGCTACTGCTATGTCAATGCTAGGACACATTACATGCTTTCACCAGCAGGCGCAGCAATAAGTAAAAAAAAGGAAAATTTGAGAGCACCAACAAACTTAATTTCGTGTATGTTTTTGGATTTGGCGATTACTATTTGTTATTTGGCGTTTTCTGTTATTTCCGGCGATAGTAGAAATCTTGGTTGTTCAAAAATTCTGAAACCAGGCTTGCCTTCTATGGTTCCATATATCGCTGTCAACTCTTAAAATTTATAAAAATAAATTATGGGAACAGTGTACACATTATCTCATTGCTCACCTGCAGGTTTGATAAGTTTTTTTGACTAAGTGGTTATTAGCATTGAACAAAACTGTAGATCTTTGTATTTCGCTAAGGGCGCTCAATCTACAGATCTGGGACTAAAAAAATAACACATCCTGAATTCCCTTGGATACAGTTTAAAAGTCTCTGCATACCACGTTTAAATCTAAAAGCATCCATAAGCGCTAATTCTTGACGACCTTCTCTAGAAGCAATCTCGTTTATACCAACCTGCATTTTCAATGATAAGTAACGATATATCTATGACCATTGATATAGAATCTCTAGGGTGCATGAAATATCGTCTTTAGTCACGGAGTCATGCCAAAATTTTCATCGTACAAGCCTGTGAAAGTGGCTTCCGTTTATGTTTTGTACATCTTGGTCAGATTCTTTGAAAATATTTCTTTGTCTTACACTGTGGTCATCATTATTTTGTATGCGCTATTCAAATAAAAATCAGCAGTAGAAGAGAGTCTTGCGAAGATAAGATCAAGACCAAATCAAGGCTTTTCAATTGCTTAATTGCTACTGCTATACAGATTGTTCCCCGTTCAATTTAAAACAAATGATCTCTCTCGAATTGTTTTCCTTCGATGCGCCATTTGTGAGTAAAAAAATACTGTCTATTGTCTAACTTGCAAAATTATTACTAATTTAATTGAAAAAAAAACAAATTAGGGGTAACAACAACAACTGACAACATAAACATAACATTAAAACCAACAAAATGATTACAAAAATTGATGAAAATGGCCCCCTTCACTCAGTATGCATGCTTCCGCTCTACTTCTAATGGAATTGAGCACTCGTTGAAATATCCCTGGAGTGTTTTTTATTCTATCACAAGCTGCAACTATTCTTTCTCTTAATTTCTCTACAGTGTTAATGGGACTTGTGTATAAAAAAGAAATCTAAACTGTTGAGGTCTGGTGACCTTGGTTGCCATTCTTGGGGCCCACCGCGGCCAATCCAACGATTTGGATAAACAGTCTGTAAATAATTACGAACCGCTACACTGAAATGCGCTGGTGCACCATCATGCATGTACCACATATTGTTTGCTTATTACTAACGGAACATCATCAAGCAATGCATTTCCGCCATTGCATTTGAATAATTCACCATTATTAACAAGATTGTAAAAATTAAATAATGAAAAAGATGTCACAGCGAACAGATTTGAATAACAGAGACTTGTCACATGTCAAAAGCCAGTGACATATTCCAACTAGATATTTATTGCAAAATTGTATTCTTCAATGATTACATTAATTTTCTCAGACAATAGAACGGTTTTCATTCTTTTACTCAAAAATGGCGCGTCGAAGGAAAACAATTCAAGAGAGATCATTTATTATAAATTGAACGGGGAATTCAAAAATTATTTTTATTTAAAAAATATCGAAGTCAATACCCGTACGCACGCCACTGTTAAATCTAAAAATTATTTTTGCATTGAAAAATATGCAACTTTATCAACTTTCACTACGTACTAAATATCAGTGAAATATCTGAAGCGGTTCTGAAAATATTAATTAATTTTCATTTTTTCCTAAAACTTCAACACCCCGAGTTTTTGTAAGGAACCATTTTTGGACCATAGTTTACAAAGCAAACGAACATTAAGTTTTCATGTAGATTCACACCCTTAAATATTCTCATATCATTAAGGAACACCCTATATACAATCTAAAGACGCGTTACTATTTAACAATGTTTTGCAATGAGCCATAAAACGTATCCACACTGATGGGGGTTTTTCCTTGCGAAACACAATTTGCCTCGAAACTCCAATATTATATCCACGCTCAGCTCCCGATAATCGCAACTCCGTAACTTTCCTGTAAATCCTCCTGTACTACCGAGGCGTGACATAGATGAGCATACTTTGCATGCGGTGCCTGGCTAGCGCTTGTTTGAATCTATATTCAGCAGGATTTTTCCAATTTTCCCTATAATGCTCACAAGATAATGCCGTTTGATGGAGATGTTATAGGACACATTGCAAAAAGTATGTACTCGTAGAAGCCACTCTCACATGTTTGCTCTCCACTGAGTATTTCATCGAAATGTGTTGTCTATGAAGTAGATGTATTCATATTTAGCGTTTTTATTTTCCACACCAACTGGCGAGGAAGTAATCGCAAAAATTTTCAAAAACCATGTCACTCATTTCCCTGGACCTGTGGGCCTTTCTGTCTGTCTGTCTGTATTTGCTAGGGTTTTTATGAAATTCTAGAACAAGGTTACCACTATGCAAAGAATGAAAAACCTATGTAATTTTTCAAAATCGATTGACTACAAACTAAACATGTGACAGGACGGTACTTGAAATTTCTTACTAAATGGACAGTGAATATTTTTCTTCAATTTCTATTTTAATTTTTCAGTGCAAATTAGCTTTCTTATTTCGAACGTAATTGTTTCTGAAAAGGAAAGTTTCAACTTTCAGGACATGTACGTATTTCCAGACAACCCAGTTAAGCTATGCAAAGTTGCATGTCACTTTGGCAGATTTGTACTATAAAAATATTGCTTGACCCCGTAACCAAAGACGTTATGTCCTATCCCATACAGTTTTTATTTAAATAAATGCCGCATACCGATTCATCATAAGCCAGCATGCGCCAGTATGGAGTCCACTGCAAAGTCCAAACCACTGTAAATACGGAGCTTATAAATATAGTTTTTTGCAGTCATGTTGTACCAAGTTTGAAGCGAAAATCCCCATAATCTGTAAAATGGCCTAAATGTGAAACTAAAGATAATCTTTGATCCCGTAAGAAAACTTCTTGTTAAAAAATCGACCAAAACTTCCCTAGCAAAGCCATAAGGTCGCGTGCTTCTTAATCCGGCAGAACGTTATTTCCATACAACAATAAATCAGGCAATCCCGAAGATAGA